CACACCAAATGAACAGTTTAATCATTTTCTTCTATTTTTTATTCTAAATGATTTATTTATTTGAACAATTATTTATTTGTTTTACATATACATAAATTACTAAATAAATAATTACAATAAATTAACAAAAATATTAAACTCTTTAATATATATATATATATAATAGTGTAATTCATAGAAACACTACAACAATGAAAATATCAAATTATGTCCTTAAAAAATAGTGCAATGCATTTTGAATTTGGATATTATGATTTTGAAATATCATTGTAATTTAATTCTTGGATTTCGAATATTCTTCCCACAAATGATCGATTAATGCATTTCGAAGTGCAATGTAAGCCTCTTTATCCTTGATTTGTCTATGTGGTTGTTGTAATATATTTAATATTAACTTTAAATTATAGTGTTTGTTATATTTAATTTTTTTTTGTATTCTTATTTTAATTAATTCATTAATTATTGTTTTTTACATTTAAAATAAATTTTAAATGAAAATAATCATAAAAATAAAAATAATAAAATCAGTAATACTAGTAATAATAATAATAACGAAAATTATTGTATTAAAAAATATATAACATAAATGACACAAATAACCTCTATCAATTACTTTGGCAAATGAAAAAGGAAAAATGGCAAATATGACTTCGCATCATTTGGTATGTCAGGTGACTTGTTTTTGCATGTTGTAACTTGTAATATTGCATGTTACGTTACATACTACATTTACACGAAAAATCAGGTGCAATATATTAATATGTAAGGTGTAATATTACACATTGCAACAGCTCTGTTTTATAGAAGACTTTATATGTTATACATTTATGTTAACATTTAGATCAATTGTTTATAAAATATTTATATGGATTTTTTTTTTTAATTGTTGCAACTTGATTATAACTTATGTGAAATTTTGTCTAAGTGTACATATTTAGTGCTAAATTGGGAGAGATTACGAGTAAAAATAAAAAAATGAAAAATAGAGAATATGTGATTAAATATAGAAAAAGAATATGTATGATCTACACGAAAAATATTTTATTGGAATAATATGTAGCTAAAAATGAGATTGAGGAAAAATTATTTTCAAAAAAAGTTGTGCTGAACAAATTTACGCAACGGATTTCTATGATTATTTGAAATTGCTAAATTTTGGTAAATCATTTCAAGTATTCTTCAAAGACGTTGAGATTTAACGACATTTTAGAAGTTTAAAGAAATTATTATGATGAATTGTCAAATTTCTATAAGTTTTATGAGTAAGAGTTTTCCACTTCAAGTCTTTAAATTTAGGATTTCGTAGGCAATCCTAGAAGTTTCTATATGTTAGTATGCCCCTATTTGATAAGAATTAAAATTTAATTTTTAGTTTAAGTCAAAGTTAACCATTAATTTTATTCACTTATTTCAGAAGATCAACAGTTTTTCAACCATTTATTGAATCAACTTTTATCAAAATTTACTAATTACAATTTGATTTTAATCCCTTCTGAACAGGAACTATATTTGTTAACATCGAGATTGATACTTGATTATGTTATATAATATTTATAGAAGAGAAAAGGGCGGTCATTAATTGACTGAGACTAGTCTTAAAGTTTTTTATATTCTTGTCAATAATTTTAAATTTTAGTTTATAGTAAATAAAAAAATAAAAAGAAATGATGAAATGAAAGGGAGAAGAAATAATATTGCTCAGAATCACAATCCTCAAAAATATAACTGTAAAGTACACATCTTTTTCTTTTAATATCATTGTTTTTAATAAACTTTAATTTGTGTGACAACTCAGTAAGTAATTATAATTACTTGAAAATTTGTGGGCATGTGTTGAAGACAACAAGGGATGCATTACAGCGCACGGTACGGGCAGTTGTCCATGTTCCTCACATGCTTTCAACTCTTGTTCTCACATACCCAATAATTATATATTTTACTGTTAAATATGTGAATAAAATCCACTTATATAAAAATTAATTTGCATGTACTTATAATTTGAATCAATAAAAAATTGTTTGGAACTTGGTTCATTCAATTCTTAGATATAAAAATGATCCTGGGAAGACTTGAGTAGTATCTTCTTTAGCCGGAAGGAATTAGTGCGATGAGGGTAATTTGGTCCTGAAATTTTAAAAAGGAACAATTTCGTCGTCAATCTTTTATTATAATTGTACAATTAGTTTCCAACGACGAAAGTCATCTAAATATATGTTAAACCATTAAGTTGCACTCCAACTGCCGAACCATGATTAATTAGCCGTAGGCCTTGCATATTTATTTATTTTTAAAGAGGACTTTGATAGAAGAGTGCCAATTGATGTCAAATAGATTTGTATTTCAATGGATGCGAGAGTTGGCAGGAACGAAATATAATTATTAAATCCAATTTTGTAATCGATGGTATATTTTTAGTCCACTGTTTAAGGGCTTTTTACTTCTACATATATATTATTGTAGTTCCTCAAGAGTTCTTCAAAACACTACTAAGAATCTACTCTGAAGAGCGAAAAATACAACCCAATAAGCCAAATGTGATGATGGTCACGAATTAGATATAATTAAACTCATTTCGTGCAACCATTTTTATCTCGTTATTGCGATTTTTATCGTTACACGGTTTTACGAATTGAAATGTATGTTACGAAATATGTCATGAATACTGCTAAATAATATCAAGAACCTTCCCTAAATTTGAAAATTAGTGATCCTAAATTGGCCAGCAAACTAACTCGATGAAATGGGCCAATTGTATATTTTTCTCTTATTTTCTTATGGAGGGTGGGGTTGGGTGAGCTCCTTGAGATGGATTTCGTAAATTTGAAGTGAAAATATGTTTATATTATAAGATTATTTTAACACTAATTTTGATAGTTTCCAACCATGAAACTTACCTATTTGCTCACTTTCAAAAGTTGAAGGCTAACTTGCTACTTGAAGAAAGTGTTCCACTATTATCAAACTTGTACCCAAAAAAGTAAGTTGATCGTCAATGTTACATTATAGTTGCATAATTTATCAAATACAGAAGCCATCTAATTTCGATTTAATAGCTCTATCTTGTTCAACTTCAAGTATAAACTTTAAGAATTTATGCTTCAACTTGTGTTGAACCAACCCGGTAAGTTTGAAGTGAGAAATAAAGACAGTACCAAAAGATTTTAATAGTTTCTGTCATTGAGAATGACTATGCAAGATCACAATTATAATAAAAAGATTGAAATTCAACTTGCTCATATTTAGAGATTGGATACGTATTTGCCATTCAAAAATTTTTAAAATTCCAAATCACAGGCCTGATCCATGATGTTTTTCAGATCTATAAGAGTCCAAAGCCCAAAATCTATATTAAGCCCAACCCAAATTGATAGCTGAACTTGGGCTGTATTCAGATGGACTAGACGTGTAAAATGGGCCAATCTGGACTACTGCGGCCCAGGGCATGTGTTCTGTGCCTGATGGCAGTACACAGTACCCAGTTAACATTAATACTCTGCGATCGATCAATTCTAAGAAATCTACAACATGAACAAGAAGTGCTAAAATTACCTTGCCACCTTTGAGAGAGAGAGAGAGAGGGAGGGTGAATATCACATGAACAAGAAGTGCTAAAATTAGTGAACATCTACAAAGGCTATCCGTTTATTGTTATATTTCCAAATTCACCGAAAAAGAATATTAAGGGTATCCACAAAAGAATAGTTTTTTATACATGTTTTCGAGTTAAATTAGAGAAGATGTGATAAGATTAAGGATTTGTTTGAGTCGCATTATTTTCAAAAAAAAAAAATACACATTCTTCAACTGTGATTTGACATAATTTCAGTCACATATTTTTCAATAAAATAATATTACACACAAATTTAAAATTTTTCCTTATTTTTTAACCACACATTTCTCATTGATTTGACATAAATAATACATTTTTTTTTCTAGAATGTGACTCAAACATGAGCTAAAATTTGTCATACTTGAACTCATGTACCCAGAGTTTCAATCCTATCTCCTAGAAAAAGTGGCACAACCTCATGGATTCCCTTCTCAAGGTTAGCATCAAGACTCACTCGCTAATATTATCACTTCAACCTTAGGCCTACTGCCTAACATTTGACATAGTGCGTCAATATAGATCATATTTATCTTTGAAATTATAGTTCATATTCGATAACTCCTAAATCAATGACTCTTTCTCAAGAAACTCAACCTCAAGGTCATTTCACAAGTCTTCCACGAGACTTTCAAAACTTGACCTTTGTATGTGCCTCATAATTTGCCAACGGGTCAACTCGAGGTATATCCACGAGCATGATCTCAACACATGATAGTGGCCTAACCTCAATATGAACATAATCCTACTTGAATATTACTTCCAAAGTCATTTAATAAAGATCACTTGTATCTCAATTAAAATTAAAATTATTAAGATTTTTTATGTGGACCCCTAATTCGTCGATCATGCACGATCCACTAGTGTTAAGTATTCACTTTACACCTATTTGATTTCCAAATGCATTTTCGAATAGTGATCTGATGGAGATTATGTGGTTAAAAAAATAAGAAAAAGTTTTAGATTCGCATGTAATATTATTTTATTAAAAAATGAATGATTGAAAGAAAGAAAGAAAGGGAAAAATATATTTTGTAAAAAAATCGGAAGTAAATAGTGTCATATTATCCTTTGAGGAAATTACATAAAACCCTACTCTTAAACATCTTAGGATATAAAGAACCTTCAAGTCAATGAAGGGTAGATCATGGGCTTCCACTATAATCCCAAGACTCTTGTCCCTTTTGAAGTTGCTGAAATATATATCTATCAAAGATTGCTGAAATATATATCTATTATTGATTATCAGATGTTGAAGATAATCCCATTTGGTGAAGCATTGCACATAAGAAATAGCATTGGCATGTAGAATCCAGGTCCTTGGGTTTGTAGTAGGGAAGATTGATTGTTTTTTGGCTCGAGGAATAGTATAGAGATTCCGATAAGGAACAGGCTGCTTTTTGAGATGTATTCCAATAGGGAAAAGATTATGCTACCCATGAAGTTTCTTTCTTGGCTTATAGCAGTTTCGATGATTCTTTTGATCCTCTCGTCGTTGTCCCTTCATCAGTTCAGCAATAATTATGACAATTCTTCCATAGCCAGATCAGTTTTTAATTTTATTTTGAATAATAATTCATCGATTCACTTGAAAGATACTAACATTCACGAAGTGGGTTTTCAAGTTTCTGGTCACACGATGAATATGGATGAAATGGGACAACTCCATGGGTCAGTATGTGACCAAAGTCGGGCACTTCTTAGGGTATATATGTATGACTTGCCCTCTGATTTTCACTTCGGGCTGTTAGGTTGGAAAGGCAATGCAAATCAGGCATGACCTAGTGTAAGTATTCCTAATAGGTATCCACCATATCCTGTTGGTTTAAATTTACAGCACAGCACAGAGTATTGGCTTACTCTTGATCTTCTTGCATCAAATACTGCAAATGTAGATAGACCATGCAGTGCAATCAGAGTGCAGAATTCAAGTGAAGCGGATGTAATATTTGTACCCTTTTTCTCGTCCCTGAGTTACAACCGGCACTCAAAGGTCCAAGGACATGAAACAGCTAGTGTTGATAGAATGCTGCAGGATAAATTGGTGCAGTTTTTGAAAGGTCGGGTAGAGTGGAAGCGTTTGGGTGGGCGGGATCACTTGATTGTCGCCCACCATCCAAATAGTATGTTATTTGCAAGAAATAAGTTGGGGTCGGCTATGTTCGTGCTTTCAGATTTTGGAAGATACCCTACAAAACTAGCGAACCTTGAAAAAGATGTAATTGCACCTTACAAGCATATGGTGAGAACGATCCCGATTTCTAACTCACCATCATTCAATGAACGGTCTATATTGATGTATTTCCGAGGAGCAATTTACAGGAAAGATGTAAGTTGTATATACTTTTGCAACTTATTATGAATTACTTGTTTGTTTTGTTCGTTTTGTGAGACCAAGTTACATTTGAAAGTTATCTTTTGAGGGTTTTACATCAATGCATTTAATTTATTGGTATTTGAGTCACTCATTGAAGAATACTCTGAAATGCAACTGCATATATCTTCTATTATCATGTCATTCTCGTCTATAGTCTAAACTGGATTTTATACTTTGACAGATTCCCAAAAGAAATAGCAATAGTCTAAAAATCAGCTCTAACTATAAGTGTGAAATGCCTTTTATTTGCCTGTAAGCCATTGATTGTTTTCCTATTCAATTTCATAAATTTTGCAAGGACTTATGGAATAGATTCTTTAGTAGGGCTTTAATCCTCAGTCGCAATGCCACAACTGCAAACGGCATAAAATTTTAATATTAAGGGGCTCAGCATTTTGACTACGAAGATCACAAACTTACATATATAATATGGGGTCTTGTAAAACTCAGAAATGGAGCACTATGATCTGCATTAGATCTGTGCATGAAATGAATGACACTGCATGACATCTATTTTGTGAAGCACTTTCCTGTTCCTTGGTAGGCCAGTACTAGTAAAGTTGAAAAGAAAGAATTACGGTTAAAAGTTTACTTAATATGATAAAAATGGAAACGAGAAATACGAAAAACTAGGGATTAAGAAGAAGATGAAAGAAAATCAATGTTGATTTGCTTTGAATATGATTTTGGGTTTTGCGTTCAGGGTGGAGCCATCCGTCAAGTACTATACAACCTACTTAAAGACGAGAAAGACGTTTACTTTGCGTTTGGAAGCGTTCAGGCTAGTGGGATAAAACAGGCAGGGAAAGGGATGGCCTCTTCCAAATTTTGCCTGAATATTGCTGGAGACACCCCTTCTTCAAATCGTCTCTTTGATGCCATTGCTAGTCATTGTGTTCCTGTAATAATCAGTGATGAAATCGAGCTACCCTTTGAAGATGTTCTCGACTACTCAGAATTCTGTTTATTTGTCCGTGCATCGGATGCTTTGAAAAAGGGTTATCTTCTGAATCTACTCAGAGGGATTAAGCAAGAGAACTGGACGAAAATGTGGGAAAGATTAAAGAATGCCAGTCGACACTTTGAGTATCAGTGTCCATCTCAGGCTGGTGATGCTGTGGATATGATTTGGCAGACTGTTTCTCGCAAGAAATCGGCCACACAATTAAGTGTTCACCGGAAGAACAGATACAGCAGATCACATTCCTCTTAAGTTCTCTGTTTAGGCTGTAAGTACCTTAGAACGTCCAAGTTATAGCAGTTTCGATGATTCTTTTGATCCTCTCGTCGTTGTCCCTTCATCAGTTCAGCAATAATTATGACAATTCTTCCATAGCCAGATCAGTTTTTAATTTTATTTTGAATAATAATTCATCGATTCACTTGAAAGATACTAACATTCACGAAGTGGGTTTTCAAGTTTCTGGTCACACGATGAATATGGATGAAATGGGACAACTCCATGGGTCAGTATGTGACCAAAGTCGGGCACTTCTTAGGGTATATATGTATGACTTGCCCTCTGATTTTCACTTCGGGCTGTTAGGTTGGAAAGGCAATGCAAATCAGGCATGGCCTAGTGTAAGTATTCCTAATAGGTATCCACCATATCCTGGTGGTTTAAATTTACAGCACAGCACAGAGTATTGGCTTACTCTGGATCTTCTTGCATCAAATACTGCAAATGTAGATAGACCATGCAGTGCAATCAGAGTGCAGAATTCAAGTGAAGCGGATGTAATATTTGTACCCTTTTTCTCGTCCCTGAGTTACAACCGGCACTCAAAGGTCCAAGGACATGAAACAGCTAGTGTTGATAGAATGCTGCAGGATAAATTGGTGCAGTTTTTGAAAGGTCGGGTAGAGTGGAAGCGTTTGGGTGGGCGGGATCACTTGATTGTCGCCCACCATCCAAATAGTATGTTATTTGCAAGAAATAAGTTGGGGTCGGCTATGTTCGTGCTTTCAGATTTTGGAAGATACCCTACAAAACTAGCGAACCTTGAAAAAGATGTAATTGCACCTTACAAGCATATGGTGAGAACGATCCCGATTTCTAACTCACCATCATTCAATGAACGGTCTATATTGATGTATTTCCGAGGAGCAATTTACAGGAAAGATGTAAGTTGTATATACTTTTGCAACTTATTATGAATTACTTGTTTGTTTTGTTCGTTTTGTGAGACCAAGTTACATTTGAAAGTTATCTTTTGAGGGTTTTACATCAATGCATTTAATTTATTGGTATTTGAGTCACTCATTGAAGAATACTCTGAAATGCAACTGCATATATCTTCTATTATCATGTCATTCTCGTCTATAGTCTAAACTGGATTTTATACTTTGACAGATTCCCAAAAGAAATAGCAATAGTCTAAAAATCAGCTCTAACTATAAGTGTGAAATGCCTTTTATTTGCCTGTAAGCCATTGATTGTTTTCCTATTCAATTTCATAAATTTTGCAAGGACTTATGGAATAGATTCTTTAGTAGGGCTTTAATCCTCAGTCGCAATGCCACAACTGCAAACGGCATAAAATTTTAATATTAAGGGGCTCAGCATTTTGACTACGAAGATCACAAACTTACATATATAATATGGGGTCTTGTAAAACTCAGAAATGGAGCACTATGATCTGCATTAGATCTGTGCATGAAATGAATGACACTGCATGACATCTATTTTGTGAAGCACTTTCCTGTTCCTTGGTAGGCCAGTACTAGTAAAGTTGAAAAGAAAGAATTACGGTTAAAAGTTTACTTAATATGATAAAAATGGAAAAGAGAAATACGAAAAACTAGGGATTAAGAAGAAGATGAAAGAAAATCAGTGTTGATTTGCTTTGAATATGATTTTGGGTTTTGTGTTCAGGGTGGAGCCATCCGTCAAGTACTATACAACCTACTTAAAGACGAGAAAGACGTTTACTTTGCGTTTGGAAGCGTTCAGGCTAGTGGGATAAAACAGGCAGGGAAAGGGATGGCCTCTTCCAAATTTTGCCTGAATATTGCTGGAGACACCCCTTCTTCAAATCGTCTCTTTGATGCCATTGCTAGTCATTGTGTTCCTGTAATAATCAGTGATGAAATCGAGCTACCCTTTGAAGATGTTCTCGACTACTCAGAATTCTGTTTATTTGTCCGTGCATCGGATGCTTTGAAAAAGGGTTATCTTCTGAATCTACTCAGAGGGATTAAGCAAGAGAACTGGACGAAAATGTGGGAAAGATTAAAGAATGCCAGTCGACACTTTGAGTATCAGTGTCCATCTCAGGCTGGTGATGCTGTGGATATGATTTGGCAGACTGTTTCTCGCAAGAAATCGGCCACACAATTAAGTGTTCACCGGAAGAACAGATACAGCAGATCACATTCCTCTTAAGTTCTCTGTTTAGGCTGTAAGTACCTTAGAACGTCCAAGTTATAGGTTTTTCAAGTTTTATACCTTCTTTTTAACCAGTCCTCAAACATTTTGGATACTTTTACTTTTGATTGAAATCTTGCTGAACAATAGGAAAGGAATAGAATGAATTTCAAACACAAAGAGAAGATTACTACTTTTATACTTCGAAATAAAATTCTAATTTGCATAACGCTGCAAGTTGAGGAACAAAATAAATCAATGAAAAATGACATTGGCATAAACCAGATTCATTGTAACAAAAACAGATGTTGGTCCGTGTGCATCTCCTTGTGCTTCTCTGTGTGTGCTTACATGAATAAACGTGAAAAGAATTTAGATGAAGAAAATTGAAGCTAAAAGAAGAAACAAAATCTACAGCACTATGAATCCCTAAGTATTCGAGCTATTGTTGGAATCTATATTATATGATAAAGGTATAGCTTGCACTTCTCAGCTGCATCTATCAGCTTCTCTATGAGCACAAGGCTTTGATTCAAACAATGAAACAACAAAATCAAAACAAACCTATACTGGAAAGTGTCTTAGCATTTTATCCTCTGCTTGGAAATTTTAGCATCTGTTGTGAATAGGGTCTGATCCTCGGCCGACACTTCTTTTTTCTGATTTATTTGGATCATAGGCCATTCCAGGTGAAGGCGCAATATCCAGAGGGATGCTCAAGTCCTGCAGTGCAACATCCTTCAGAACCCGAGAACTTCTGAGAACTAACATTTCTCCTGGTCCCCATCGCAGAGCAAGATCTATGCTTCTCAGGCAAGAAACCCTCTCTGGTTGAATAGAGAAAAATCCAATACAAAAGATGACTAGGATAGTCAGCTTACTGGCAGAGAAACTCATTTTGCACTATAGAAACAGAGAATTTCTTCTGTAAGAGAATAAATGCTTTGTCTGAAATGAAACCCTCTATTCCTCTGTATATAAACCTGGGGAATTTTGTCTTTTGTGGGATTTGTGGGCCATAGGCACACAGAAGAACAAAGGGACCCAAATCATAGATTCAGCTCAATCATAAGCCTGTCACAGAAGCAATGTAAGGCTGTTTTAGAAGTTTTAACAGGTTTGAATAAAAGTTGAAATTGGAACAGCATTCTTGAGAAGCCAAGAATCTTTATATTTGTTCCCCACATAACCTAATATTTGACTTGCTCTTTTAGACCAAACATTCACAAATCCCAAGACTCTACAACCCAACATCAACTATCCACGTCATCTGATTATGTTCCTCTGTGCATGTGTCTTGTAGTGTTGGGTGGTTTACAATCATCAAATTATTCATTTTATAAATATGTTTACTCAATTACGTGAATTCTTTTTTGTGTCTCTGTTCAATTCATTATTATATTTACATAAGATTCAACGTAGGTGAATTGAGATTGCATCAACCTTCCATCCACTATCTTCTTTAGGTCCGCATAAAAGATATTTTAAACTATGGCATGTTTAGCTTAGCTTCTCCTTCTACTTGTGCTTTTTGTAGAAGACTTAGCTGAGAACGTCATCTTAAGTTAGCTTTTTCTTCTTCTAAATTGACAACACTTCTAGAAATTAACTAAACAAATTCAAAAATAGCCAATGCAATTTTTTGCTTTTCAAAATTCATGTCAAAAGGGTTTGAAGTTATAATTTTCTTAATTTATCAATCGATTTTACCTCTACTTATAAACGTATATTCTCGCAAGTTTTTTGGGCAGCGAAAGTTAGAGGGTTGCTACAGTTGCAAGAAAGCCAGATAAAGTTGGATGTTGGGACAAGATGAGTAAGTGGAACAGCCCTCAGAAATACCAAGAAAATGCTTTATGCAAACTCTTCACTTTAGAATTCCAAGCTCTCTTATCCATGCACCAAAAATGAAAGTCTTGGTTTTTTGTGCTAAATAACTTTCCTTTATGCTTTTCTTTAGATTGTGAAGCACTGAGCCCTCCATTCAAACTTCTCATTTTCACTTCTCTTCCCTTTATTTTTCCTCGCTTACCCATGAAGACCATCTTTTTTTTTTCTTTTCTTTATTTCATTTTCCACATTATTATTTTTAATTTCAAATTTATACAATTTTAGTATTTCCATATCGTGCAAGCTTAGTCATACTAACATTAGTTTTAAGTTATTTTTTATGTCTAATCATGTTTGGATATGTTACTTTTTATCTTACTTTAAATAAAAAAAACGTCTTAATGTCAAAATAAGTAATATAATCTTGGTGTCCAACCCTCAGTGAAGTTTTAGAGAAACATGACTCAAATTCTTTTATCATGTCAACGGTTAAGAGATTTTTATCTTGTCCACTGGAAGCAAGAGATCCATTTCAATAAGTAATATTCCATACTTATAAGAAAACCTTTATAGTATTAGCCAAACATGCAATATTCTTGGTGGGGTGAGAGAACAAGACAATGATGGAGGCCCTTGTGAACGAAAATAATGGTACCATGCCGAAGATATACCACATTATATTAGTAGTCAGGCACAGTTAAATCACATCTCAAGTAACAACCATCACTTTTCTTTATCCTAGACTTTTCTTAGCCGAAGTTTGCTTGACCTCTGAGAGAGAGAAAAAAAAAAAAAAAAAAAAAAAAAAAAACAACCTTCACACCACTATCAATTTCCACGCATAAAAGGGGACAATATCATGTCATCAACGAAATTTTGATCATGTAATAAACAATATCCCCAATGCAGAGGAGTACACAGAATTGATATATTAATGACACAGTTGAAAATGAAATTACAGGATAAACCAGGAATTTAACATAGGTCCAGAATTTGCAACAGACACAGGAAAGCGAGTTATTAAACAGGCTCCGGATGAGGGGTCCTAGACGGTTCTGAAGTCGATTCAGGTGCAGGTGTCATTGCCGATATTGGGGCTATTCTAACTTGCAGGCCTCTATGTTGCCCTGCCTGCAGCATGAAAGCAACTTCATTTGTCGATAGCGCTGCAGCTTCCTGGTTTTTCTCACAAACGGAAATACAAAATGAGCAAAAGATTATACATGTGGCTTTGTGTTTTATATGTAGTATTAGACACTGCAACGGGCAATAATTTATATTTATGTGTGATAAATTCTATCGATGGCAGCTCAGCTCCACTACTATACTAACAAACACAATCTTGTTATAATTATCGATTCAAAAGATTTTCCAAACAATAAAAAGAATACTCGGCATCAGTATAATTACTATCGACGACGTATTTCACCACCTGTCTTGTTTCTAATTTATTCAAGGCATTAAATGTCACGACTATATTTTCATATCCCTGAATGAATAGCACACCATAGTAATAGAGATTCCTCTTGGTTTCGATGAAATATAAGAATAATCGACCCATAAATGACGTCGTCATACAATTCTATATTTCTAGAAGAAGCTCGTATCCTTGCTCATTTTTCAGTTACAACACAAGATAATGGTTACGTCGGCCAAATTAACCCACCACCCCCCGTACGCCCAACAAATGAAAGAAAGAAAGCCCAGTATCAAAGACCATTACCTTTTGGAATCACTAATACGCAGGTGTTGATTGACAACGTAAAATTTCTGGCCAAATTTTTTTAACAGCATCATATGGAGTACTAGTAGCATAGATGTCAACAGAAAGCATATGGATGAGAAAATAACGAACCATAACCCATAAGCCTCTCACCTGTCTTTGCCTCCGACGCTGCAATATACTCATAGCCCAAGCAACAATGTAGCAGGGAAGAAGGAGCCCCATAACCCGGAGCAATATAAGCTGTTTAAGAATCAACAACATAATCAAGTGAGTAATTACAAGTTGGATGTGTACATGCATGTCGGGCAACTAAAACAATGAAGACCACTCACAGAGAAGGTGAAAATATCATCGTCGTCCTTATCACTATCATCGTTTCCAATTGTTATAGTGTGCCTCAAGAGCAGAAGAGCCATTAGCTGGCACAGAAAACAGGTCAAAATTATCAACAAAAAATTGCACCGAACTTTAAAGGAGAGGAGGGACAAAAAAACAAAGAGGCAGTATAACAGAGGGTAAAAAATCAATCAAACTGATTTTTCAACCAAATACTATTTGAAACCTTTGGGTTTGTCCCATATCCCATGGGTATAGTGTTTAAACTAAAACATAACATCTTCTTAAGCATGAATAAAATATTTATTCCATTCTCCTTTCCAATATGCCCCAAGGAAAACATTGAATTGGATTCCATGTTGATGGGCTAGTTTAAGCATCATCTGGTTATGCACTCTTCAAATAAGATGGCTTTTTTTTGGATTTGGAAGATCAAATTTTCAATTTCAACTATTTAAACAGCAAAGAAAAATTATCTTTTCTCGTGTAATTATTATATTAGAGATGATAACTCCTCTTTAAAGCATACGCTTTAGAATCTTACACCAGGCTACTAGTTGGCTTTCTATCCACATCTTCCTGTTACAAACAAAGATCAGGCTTTATTGGCTACCGTTAGTTGGAGAAAGTACCCTAGATAAAACTGGGTGAGTTGTAATCAAGTGTTTAGTCAAATGAGCATTTGCAACATTGTGAGGACTACAGCATGGGATGCTTGCTCTATTAGTTTAATTTTGGATAAACCAAAAGGAGAGTGCATAAAAGTAAGAATTAACTGTTGAAAAAATATCTAAGCAGTGCCTGCAGTTCATTCTTTTCCTGGAAAAATAAATGGCTAAATTCTAATTTAAGAATTATAATGTAGTTAAAAATTGAATTCCTAAATATCCATGAAAGAATATATATCACAAATAAAACAGAAAGCGCAACTGATAAGGCGAAAATTAAACTAGTAGGGAAGGTGTTCGTTACAATTAAAGTAGCAAATCGACAAAATGCAGCTCCACTAGCACTTGAATCAGCATACTCATCATAATCAGCCTCTAGAAGATGGCGTTCTGAGCCAGCGACGGCCAAAAGTCGAGGGTCCTGTAAATCCACCGGAGTACCAGCAATCGTCCAGCCCTCACTGCAAAGATAAAGCCTCAGAGCCAAGTAATTGAAATGATTTAACCCATACAAGTTAGTACAAACAATATGATGCTAAAACTGGAATAACATACTTTCCTAACTAAATTCCTAATTGTATCACACTCGAATGGAAAACTTTCGATGATTAGCACTGCCATGTTTTTATTTCCAGATATAAGATACCCATTCCTGACAAACACACATCAACCTGGTATTGCATTTTCTTCTAGTGACATTTGACCTAAAAGTAGGAGGAAGGTGGTGGAAAGGAGGAATTTTTTTTTAAGTCCATTTGAATGATTATAATTTATACTTTTTAGCACAAGTACAAAGTGCCGGATGCATAAAATGATTAGGAAGTCATAAGCCTTATGCAAAATCAACCCCTTGTACTACGGCATTCCACCTCCTATCAATCATGTCCAAAATGAAAAAGTGAAAAAGTGAAAGTCAAAAGCCTCAAGTGACTGACCAAATTCTAGCCATTATTGACTTCTAGCATAATTACACAGATACATGCAACAAACCTCATTCCAGATAAACATGGGGCAAGATTACATAAATACAACAGAGAAAAGATATAGTTTCAGAAAGGTACATCTCACTGTAGTCCACATTTGGTCTAAGGCAATTAGAAAAGTTGAAATTACATCTATAGGATTTTTATCAAACGGCTAAACACTAATGTTCTCATTCTGAAAGATTAAGGAAAAAACAAATATGACCAAGATTTAAAAACGTGCCTGATTTCAATGGCAGAATTGTCAGGTAGCAGACGAGGTGAAGCAGTGTAGCCATGTTGGTAAGGCTGCAAAATTGGGAAAATCATTAGCAGAAGTCAGCATATCATTAAGATTACACAACTCGTAAGATTTAGAACAAATGCATTTTTTTACATGACAAGGAATAAATTTGATAACAGAGGCAGTGATAGCATACCTGATGACATATCTCACATATTATATCTCCTTTCTCATTGCACCAGCGTTGAACACAATTCCTATGAGCGTACTAGATTTTAAATGTAACAAGAGGAAAAAATTGAAAATAAGTTTTTTGATAGAAACCTAAAGTGCAAACCATGACTGTGGATTATAGACAATGTGGAAAGACATGAGTAGAAAATCCTACTGAGATAGAGAAATTATATAATAATACAATAGCCAACATCATCACCGTGAATTAGACCTTGGAAAAAAGGAGGGAAAAAAACTACTGTCTAACATTGTATGCATCTATTTTCTTCACCGAAGCAAATGCTTTGTCACCATATGCCAGACAACACAAGTTCAAGACTTCACTTACCAAAAATAAAACAATTTCATAGGAAAGGACATACAACTAGCCCTTTTAATCATTTTTCTTTTTCTTTTTTTCCTTTTCATTTTTTTAAGAATGTGAGGTCAAAAAGTAGGGAAAAGTTAAGGGGGAAGTGTGAAAAATGAAACTTTTTTAGAGAATGTGTGGTTGAAAGTGTGTGTGAAAAAATCATTTTGAAAAAATCAATTTCAGCCAAGGGCTTAATAAAAGAGTGAATTAGCCCCAGCAAAGGATGCAGAACGATACCTTCAAGCTGCCACTACAAACACAAGGTATCTCCAAGTTTTTAACACTATCTTCCTCCTGACAAATGCGGCATTCCACTGACTCAATTAAAGGGTCTACTTCATCAGCTACTCTTTTTTCTTCATTTTCCTTAATAGAAATCACTGAAGTAGATGGATCGGCATGAGAAGTACTAGAACTCTCGCCAGGAAATTCAACAACCTCTTGCCCTTGCAGTAATGGCAATGATTCAGGTGTAACAAGATGATCAACGCATAGAACCAAGTGCTCATCCATTACTTATCCAGTAATGTATATAACTAAGTAAACCACAAAATCACTTCATATTAATTCAAATGATCATCAACAGTTAGAAACAGCCACTAAAAAAGCATGAATTTCTCTTTCATGAAAGAAAAAAAATAAATAAATAAATAAATCAATCCATTTATAAATTGACGTTAAATAAGTTGCTTCTGCTAGAATCACATGCAATGAATATCATAGAAATATGTGAAATTCAGAGACAAAATAATAGAATTCTTCCACACTTAGGAAAATAAATTTTGGGCCTCTTATTTCACACAACCATATTTTGAATAATATTATGACACAGAACCCAAAAGTAAAAATAGGATAAGAAAGATGAAAATAGAGAAAAATTATTAGATGCTTAATCTTCCATTTCAGTTTCTTCAGCTACCGAACAGAATCTAAACAACATAAGGACCATAAATTTCCACCCAAAGAACAATATGCAATCTAAAACCCATCAATAATTTCAACCAACGGATTCGGAATAATTTGAAAGGGCAAACATTCACCAATAAATTACAATACATCGCACCCCAAGAATAATAATAATAATAATAATAATAATAATAATCATCATCATCATCATCATCAAAACCCAGAACAATTTATCAATTTACTTCATAAAAAAAAATCAAAAAAATCAAAAGAAGACATGAAATCACGAAAGTACAATTACCTGAAAGAAAAATGCTCTTTGGATTATGGTCTTTAAGAGGATTATTAGATAGGGAACTGAGAGAAGTAATGGTCTGCTTTTGCAAAGAAATTGCTGACCGAATTGAAGAGAAGGGGTCTCTATGAATTTTATTTAACATTTATTTTTTAGCGGTAGTTGTATTTATATATATGCGTATTTATTCTAGATTTCTAAAGCATTTTAAACACTTAAAAATCTTAGGAGAAGCGGCGTGGAGTTCAATCTTATGATTAGGCGAGTCGGGGGCAAGGTTTATGCAAAAAAAAAATAAAAAAAAAATAAAAAAAAATAAAAAAAAAAAATTCCTTATTTTAATATTATTTTACATTTTTAATAAGTTTAAAAATTATTTAATAATACATACAAATTATAGTACGAAATATAGTTTTAAAAGCTTAATGGCATAAATATATTTTCGGATTATAAACAATATATAGTATAATAATGCTAATTGAAGAAAAAATAATTAATCAACTTAATGAAAATACAAAATAACTATTTATACAATATTACAATGTACTATGACCAAATCAAAGGTACAATGCACTACAACCAAATCAAAGGTACAATATATTACAACCAAACTAAAAGAATTTTTATTAACACATTGAAAATTCAAAGAAAAATAATTGGAGACGCCCTCTGTAAATTAGCAGAACAGTAAGTGGGTCAACAACTTTTTGAACCTTTCAATCCAATTAGCTAAAAGTTAAAATTTACTAAACAACAACAACTACTTCAATGAACTTATTTCGATTCCTCACTATTCATAATATGATGTAGTATATCATCTGCAAAACTATTGTCGATAACTTTTTTTTTTCAATTCTATTTCTTTTATATAACGACATAACTTAATGAGAGATTTTCATTTTCAATATTTTAAGTATTTGAACATTTTCTGAGATTTTATAATTATGTATGTCTATATATTCTCCAAGAGTATACGCCTGTTAATTTGGATCATCTTTTTAATTTTCTGAGATTTTATAATTACGTATGTTTATATATTCTCCAAGAGTATATGCCTCTTTGATCATCTTTTTAATAGCTCCATTTTATTTTGAAATTTTTTTCTTGAAATCGATTATAATTACGCTTTAGGTGTGCTATACGCTTATCAAATATTATGTTAATAAGTTATCATTCTAAAACATTAATACAAATTGAATGTGTATAGCTGGTATATGAAGTTTTATAAATCTTTTATAGATTATAAGGTGCATCTTATAATTGAATTATATTTTCGTATTCTCAAGTACGAGGATATAGATAACACAATATATATATTATGTGTTATTTTCAGCTACTAATTTCTCCCCATAATGTTGAGAAAACGGTCCAATCAAATTGATAGCTAGCGAAATGCTTTATATGCATAGATAAAAATAAATAAATATTAGGTTCCAACCGTAAACCAATTATAACATAGAACGCATTGATATGGCATAATGCATAAAGTATTGTTGCTCAAAAAATAGAATTCTCTAAACAGAAATAGGAAATATTTTGTTTTTAATAGTAATGATTAAGGAATTAATTGAAGATAATTAAAAATCAATTGTATTAAACCATTTATTGGCATCTCAATTAATATTTATCAGAATTTTAGGATTTAGATTCGTTAGCATTGACAACATGTATCATCTTAATGTTATAATTTGAAAATTATGCTCATAATTTAAAATTTGAACAAGTAATTTTGCAATTTTCAAATTGCAAACATTATGCAATCATTTAGTAAATATATTCAATACTAATTATATTTAGATCATCAACATGAAAAGTGATGGATCATATACATCATCCTAATTATTTTTCAAGATTATAGAGGTTTAGTTCCAACTTTAGCATAGAGAATAACTATTGCAAGAGAATTTATTAGATTGAAAAATTTTCGGACTCTTTGTAGAACATTCATTTGAATTCTTGCATCATTATTGATCCAATAGTGGTCTAACTGATCACGCGAAATAATAATACATTCAATATTGAACTTCGCGTTTAGGACAATATTTGTTTCAGTTATACCAACAACGATATAGTATCAATCATGACACGTATTTTAGAAACTTAGTAGGTTTCTCTTTAATTTAGTAAAGAATTAATTATCACCAATAGTAAAATATTAACATAACGCAGTATTGATTTGTATGGAGTATTAAACAACATTTTTATGGAATATTGATATAAATAAATTTTGCTTCTTTTAGGAACAAATTAATTAAAATTGAAATTTTTTCAAGATCATTACGATTTTTACATTAAAATGTATAAATTTTTTATTTTTCAATAATAACCAAAATATATTTTTCCAGACTACTATTGTATAATATTTATGCTCTTTAGATATTACATGGTTTTTATACAGGGGATAGGCATATTTGATAATTTCTTTTTCTTTTAATAAACCTATGTTTGAGCCCTTTTTTATAAAAATAAATATGTGACTAAAAATGAGTTTGAAAAAAAAATGATGGTGCATTTGGTTTGTTGTTTGGATGGATTCACATTACTATTACCTTGCGAAACACTGAACACGTGTTTGATCTCCTATTTCTAAAAATGTATTTTTGAAAATAAGATCAAACTTGTGGCATAAAATTCAAAAAGTATTTGTGACTTTTTTATATTTTCAGTAAAAATTTTGAAAACACTCAAAACCTATAAAACAAACTTTTAAATAAAAATATAAAATCCTAACAAATAAAATTTTGAATTTTAAAAATTTAAATTTTTGAAAAAATAAATTCTAAAATTCTTTAAAAAAAATTCTGAAAACTAAAAATGAAATTTGTGAAAGAATAAAATTATAAAAACTTTTAGAAAAGTAAATATTATAAAGTAAAAAAAAGTTCAAGTTCTTATTGATTATTTCTATAAAAATTCTTAAAAAATATATTTAAATGAACGTATATATAAAAATATTTTTAGTCCATGTTATTAATTTTATTTTTATTTCCTATATTTTTAAATCAATTATTATTATTATTATTATTATTATTATTATTATTATTATTATTATTATTTAATTTTGTAGCGAGAAAAAAATATTTTATGATTCACCAATTTTAAAATGTATATAGCACTTGATAATATATTAACATAAAATTGCTTTACTTTCACTAAATACTCACATTTCATGGAATAAAATGTCATAAAATAATTTTACAAAATTTAAAATCAAACGTGTTTTCTAGTTTTCTATTTTGAAAAATGATCTTTTATATGATAAACTCTACACGTTTTTAAAAATATTAAAATAGACACACAAAATGGAAAACTTAAAATGAATTTTAAACTGAAACACAAGTCAAACGGAACTTGCATTTTTAGATAATAGGCTCAAATAAGGATTAAATTGTAATGAAAATTTTGCGAGTCAAAAACGTGTTTTCTAAATGAATAATACATATTTGAGGTAGTTACAAGATAAAATTTCAAGATTTAGAAACTTGTTTCAAAGTACAAAAAATCAGGTCATAATTCAAATTTTATGAATTAAATAGATAATTAAAAATATTTTATTAATTAAATAAGTAATTAAATATATTAAGGTAGCAATATTATACAGTTTATGATCACAATTACGTACTAATCACATTTAGAGAACATCACAGTTACAAATCATAAATTTTATACGTCTCAACTTATTTTTCAGTCGCTAATTATTAAACTAATTGATCACGCATTATTTCTCGATCACAAATTATAAATTTTATACGTTATAGTTTATTTATCGATCACAAATTATCAAATTGATAGGTCACTCTTTATTTTTCAGTCATAAATCACAAATTTTATAAATCACAACTTATTAAACTAACTGGTAACAAGTTAATTGTTTATCGCAAATTATCAAATTAATTTATCAAAACTTAAAAAATCATGAATCATTTATTATTCATGAATTATTTATTTTAAAAATCACATATTATTTATTGATCATAAATTAACAATTTTATTGCTCACAATCACTTAAATAATTGGTTATAAACACTCTTCATCCCGTAACCCTACTTTACCACCATCACCAACTAAAAGTCGTACCACTTTGCCAGCATTGTCAACACAACCACCACCTCACCATCACCGCTAGCACCACCATCATCATCATCACCACCTGTACCACCACCACCAACTTCAAATACCACCAACATTTGCGAACTACCCAAAAAACTCGGACAAGTATGCGTAGCCAATTAAAAATAAGCTTGAAACTCAAATGCATACAGAGCTGCTCTCATCATTGGAGGATGAGAAGGGCTAACATGTGCCAAAGAATAGAAGATAAATGAGAAAGAGCATTGCGCTTGTGTGATAAAGTGAGGAAGGATGGATATGGTGAACTAGGGAAAATTCTTAAGGTTTGGGTGGTATCATTATTAGTTTGGGGGTTCTTATATATTTTTTAAATAAAAATAATAATTATAACCTGATTTTTATAATAAAAAAAGGTAATTAAAACTTGATTTTTGAAGTTGAAAATTGAAACGTAGGTACATATGTAATTTTCATTTTTTCAAAATTGTCAAGCAATTTTCCACCAATTTCTTGACCATGGCCCATGGTTCAGCCTCTCGTTGCCCATTGTTAGGCTTGTTTAGTTTACATTTTAAGTGGTTTATTGCTAGTGAGTCTATAAATCCCTATTATTCAGGGATGCTTTGTTTGTTTGATTTAGTCTTGTTACGTTTTTCTCCTTTTAAACTCACTTAACTTAAGCTTCGCTTTGACCTAGCAAGTCAAACAGGGTATGAAGTTCTGTTTTGGATTAAGGCAGTGACAACGATTGATATAGGATTAATAACTGAGTTGAGTTTACATTGGTTAGTTATTAGGAGTTGTTAGACGTGGGTTGTCTATTTGCTTGTTTCTGTTTGCTCTGTAAAACTATATATAGCCAAGTTTGTTTTTTCAATCAAGTGAAATTCCTTCCAGATTACTGTATCCTTCATCAACTTTCTTTTTCAACATTTGATATCAGAGCGACCTACTAGGGGCTTGATTACATTGGAAGCAACAGTCTTCTACATGTGTTATACTTGGGGTATTGTTATACTTGGGGTATGGTAACAGAGAGTTCGTTTGTACAACTAGCAGTTTCGAAATTTGATGAGTACTATGATCATTGGGCAATGCTCACGAAAAACATCTTGCGTTCCAAGGAGTA